ACACTCACACTCACACTCCCACACTCACACTCCCACACTCACACTCCCACACTCACACTCACCCTCACACTCATACACACTTCCACACTGACACTCACACTCCCACACTCACACACTCCCACAGCCACATTCACACTCCCACACTCACACACAACACTCCCACACTCACACTCCCTCTCAGGAGTCTCACACTCACATATAACACTCCCACACTCACACTCACACTCCCACACTCAAACTCACACTCACACTCACACACAACACACTCACACTCACCCACACACACTCACACACTCCCACACTCTCACACAGAACATTCCCATACTCACACTCCCGCACTCTCACACACATTCCCACACTCACAGTCACACTTTCACACACAACACTCCCACACACTCCCACACTCCGACACTCTCACACATGACACTCCCATACTCACACTCCCACACTCACACTCCCACATTCTCACACATAACACTCCCACACTCACACACGCACACACAACACTCCCACAGTCACACTCACACTCCCACACTCCCACACTCACACAGAATACTCCCACATTCACACTCCCACTCCCACACTCCCACTCCCACTCTCTCACACACAGCACCCTCACACTCACACTCTCATTCCCACACTCTCACAACACTCCCACACACTCCCACACACTCACAGCAGCATCACACTCACACTCCCACACTCACACTCCCAGATTCTCACACACAGCTGCCTCACACTTACACTCCCACACTCTCACAGCACCCTCACACTCACACTCCCACACTCTCACACACAGCACTCTCTTACACTCTCACAACACTCGCACACTTACACTCCCACTCTCTCACACACAGCACCCTCACACTCACACTCTCATACTTTCACACACAGCATTCCCACACTCACACTCCCACACTCACACACAGCACCCTCACACTCACACTCTCATACTCTCACACACAGCATTCCCACACTCACACTCCCACACTCTCACACAGCACTCCCACACACTCCCACACTCTCATGCACAACACTCCCACACTCACACTCCCATACACTCACAGCAGTGTCACACTCACACTCCCACACTCACACTCCCAGATTGTCACACACAGCTGCCTCACACTCACACTCCCACACTCTCACACTCACACTCCCACAATCTCACACACACAGCACTCTTTCACTCTCACACTTCCACACTTACACTCCCACACTCTCACACACAGCACCCTCACATTCACACTCCCACAACACTCCCACACTCACACTCCCACACTCTCACACACAGCACCCTCACACTCACACTCCCATACTCTCATACACAGCATTCCCACACTCACACTCCCACACTCTCACACACAACACTCCCACACTCACACACTCCCACACTCACACACTCCCACACTCACACACAGCACCCTCACACTCACACTCCCACACTCTCACACAGCACTCCCACACACTCCCACACTCTCATGCACACTCCCACACTCACACTCACATTCCCACACTCACAACAGTCCCACACTCACGCTCCCACACTCTCAGCATGCTCACACTCACACTCCCACACTCTCACACAGCACTCTCACACTCACACTCACAATCCCACACTCACAATACCCTCACACTCACACTCCTACACTCTCACACACAGCACTCTCACACTCACACTCACACTCCCACACTCTCATACACAGCACCCTCACACTCCCACTCCCACACTCTCACAACACTCCCACACTCACACTCCCACACACACACAGCAGCCTCACACTCTCCCACACTATCACAACACTCCCACACTCACACTCCTAGACTCTCACACACAACAGCCTCACACACTCCCACACTCTCACAGCACCCTCACACACTCCCACACTCTCACTCCCACACTTTCACAACACTCCCACACTTACACTCCCACACTCACACACAGCACCCTCACACACTCCCACACTCTCACAAACAGCACTCCCACACACACTCCCACACTCACACTCCCACAGTCACACTCCCACACTCTCACAACACTCCCATACTCACACTCCCACACTTTCACACACACACACAGCACTCTCACCCTCACATAGGCACCCACACACGTTCAAACATGCCCACACTCATACGTACTTACAAACTCATTCACACAATCACCCTCCCATTCTCACACTCACACCTTCTCTCATGCACTCACACACTCTCACACACACTGTCTCAGTCACATACACTCACATACACTCTCATACTCATGCTCATTTACACACTTACAGATGCTCACTCAGGCACATATTCGTGCACACTCACATCACCAGCCATCTTCACCCCTTCTCCCCACCCTTCTCGTTCTCACTACCTTCCCCACTCTCTAATGGTCACAGACTTGCTAAAGAGTAGCAGAAACAGAGGAGGCCTCCAGGTCTCTCTGGAAAGTTTAGGTATCTGGGACAGGAAGAAGTAGGGGCAGGGAGCTCTTGCTGTCCAGCGTGACAGAATCCCCAGGGATGGCGGGGAGCTGAGGCCTGGCAGCTCAGGTACAGTGTGCAGATCACTGGTGCTACCAGCCACCTTCTCATCAGGAGAAAGAAAAACCCTTCAAAATGGTTCTTTTCAGCTAGTGCCCCCCAAATCACAGCCCTGGAAATGAAGGAAAGGAGGAGAAAGAAGCATGACAGAGCAGGTTCCTCTGACCACTTCAGGAGAAGCCCAGGGGCCCTGCTGACTGCCTGGTCAACCTACAGAGAACCGAGCTCTGGCCTAATGATTAGTGTGAGGAACCTGAGGCCTCCGAACAAGAGGGAGGCCTTAGCAGGCACTCCCATGTTCCCACTGCGCCCCAAACACAGAGCACACACCCAGTGGGAAAGAGAGGATGTGCTCCCCATCCTCTGGTAGGCCAGGCTGTGAGCTGTGCCTCCTGCACCTGAGACCTGGGTCCAGCCTGAGGCCAGGGTGAACACCAGCTCTGGGGAGGGAAAGCTCAGTCCCACCAGCACTGCTGGAGGGTTTGTCTGGGCGTCTGCCCTGCCTTGAGTCTGTGCCCCGTGAACAGTGTGTGGCTTGAAGGCTGAGAGCAGAAGGTGCAGTCGCCCGTCCTGTTCCAGAGAGGCCTGCATGGTCGCCCTCCCCACGCCTCCCCTGCTGATGTTGTTTGTCTCCTGGGTTAGCAGCAGGGGAAGTGAGGTTAAAAACCCTGGGCTGGGTTGGGGTGGAGGTGCCTCACTGCTCCAAGAACTGCCTGGGGGAGGCTTCTTCCCCTGAAGCAGGAGGCCTGGCGTTCTCTGCTCTGGCTGGGTGGTCCAGCCCAGCCCTACCAGCACCCTGGGACCGCCTGAGGAAGAGTGTGTGTGTGTGTGAGTCCTGCGTGAATTTGTTTCCATGTGTGAGTGTGTATGCATGTGAGTGTGGGCACTGTGTGCATGAGTGTGCTTGTGTGTGTGTGCTTTGTGAATGTATGTGCACGTGTGTGCATATGTGTGCATACCTGTGTGCGTAAGGGCATAGGTATGAGGACATGTGCATGTGAGTGCACATGTGTGACTGTGCAAGTGCGTGAGTGCATGTGTGTCAGAGTATGTGTGTGCATGTGGGAGAGTGTGTACCATGCCTGTGTGTGTGAGTGCATGTGTGTGTCAGAGTGTGAGTGTGCACATGTGAGAGTGTGTACCATGCCTGTGTGTGTGAGTGCATGTGTGTGTCAGAGTGTGAGTGTGCATGTGTGAGAGTGTGTGTACCATGCCTGTGTGTGCATGAGTGCAAGTGTGTGTACTGTGCCTGTGTGCGTGTGTGAGTGCACATATGAGTGTGCATGTGCACGTGTCAGAGGCACTAGCACCAGGGCCTCAGCAATGTCAGGCCGGTTGCTCATTCTGTGCCTTTACACTGTTGACTGCCTTTGTCTGAATTTCTCAATGCTTTTCCTCTCCTCTCACTTTCTCTCTCAAAGCACCTCCGAAAGAACAGGAAGTTGGGCGGAAGTGAGTCCCACATTGTATAGGTGAAGAAGCTGAGGTGTTGATAGAGGAAGTGATTTTATTGTGGTGACATAGGATACAAAAAGGAACACTGCTCTGCCCCCAGCTGCCCCAGCCCTCTCCCTGAGGTCTCCTTAGGCCTCCTCCCAGGCTCCAGAGCCCCTTCCTCTCCCCCTTCTCCCCTCCCAGTCAGGGATCCCATCTAACAATAAGAGATAATATTGACCAAGTGCGCATTAAGTGGCAAGCACCATTTGTGTAGTGTTACTGGGCCAGAGAGCCAGGGATTGAATCTTAATTTGGTCACTTACTAGTTCTGAGACTTGGGCAAGTTACCTATCTATGCCTCAGTTTACTCATGGGTAAGATGGGGATAAAAGTAGCACTGAGGGTTGTGGTGAGGATTAAATGAGTCCCCATACTCAGAAGGCCGGCTGGCTCCTGGAGATGCTGCACGGGCCCTGACTGCCCTGATCATGCTCACCATCATCACCACTCTCTACTGCCTCCCAAGTGCTTGGCTGCCCCCTTGGAGAACTAACTCAGCTCAGAGATCGACTTGGCCTGTGCTCAGTCCCTCGGCTCCACCCTCTGCCTGGCTCGTCCTGGGGTGGCAGGAGGGCTTTTCCTTCCCTCCTGTGGGGCTTCCCTATCCCCTTCAGCTTCCTTCCCTTGGAGGCCCTCAGACCCATGGCCTCAGTGCAGAGGTCCACACTCCCCACTTTCCAGGCTTCCTTCCCACTTTCCCCTTTTTTCCACTTCACCATTTACTCACTGGGTGACCTGGAGCCAGCGAGTTCATCTTTCCCTACATTAGTTCCTTCCTCTGTAACCTGGGATGACTAATACCCCTCCCTGCGGATATCTGTGGAATTGAATGTATTTATGAATGCAGCGCCTGGCATACAGTGGGTACCCAATAAATATCAGCTTCATGCCCCCTCACTACTCATGGTCCTCACTCCAGATTCATTCAGATCACTCCTGACTCCTGACCCTTGACTCAACTGTGCCTTGCAGATTGGAGCATCTCTGATGTCAAGCAATGTGGGCAGTGGCTTATTCATCGGCCTGGCTGGGACAGGGGCTGCCGGAGGCCTCGCCGTGGGTGGCTTCGAGTGGAACGTAAGGAAGCTGGTTTGGTTTTTCCAGAATAATGAGAGTCTAACCCACCTCCGTCTCTGGCATTAGTGCTGGGAGGATCCTTAGGGATGCCTAGGAGGCTGCATGGTGAATTGAGAATCCATTTCACAGATGAGGAAATCAAGGTCTGGAGGAGACAGAGGGATCCATGCAAGGTCACACGGGAGGACTGGGGTCAGGTCCCAGGTCCCTTATTTCTCTGTTTGGGGGCCTCCCACAGCACAGCGCTGCCTCTGGGTGGGAAGCCGCCCCTCTGTCTATATCCAGGACCTGGATATCTTCTTCTCCCCACTCTCCCAGGCAACCTGGCTGCTCCTGGCCCTCGGCTGGGTCTTCGTCCCTGTGTACATCGCAGCGGGTGTGGTCACAATGCCACAGTACCTGAAGAAGCGATTTGGGGGCCAGAGGATCCAGGTGTACATGTCTGTCCTATCTCTCATCCTCTACATCTTCACCAAGATCTCGGTAGGTGTCATTACAATGTGGCCGTTGTGTCTGGAAATGCTGATTTGGGAATTGCTGAGTGCATCACCATGTGCGTGTTGCTGAGGGGAAGCTGACAATCCATTGAAAAAAAGGAAGGCGGGACCTAGAAACCTTTAGCACATGCTCCCCCTCAGCACTGGGGTACTCAGAGATGAATGGTAAATGTTTTTGGAGTGAACGACAGCCGTTACACTCAAAGAAATCACCATCCAGAGTTCATTCATTTATTTTTTCATTAATGGATTATTCATTCATCAACTGTGTGTTAGTTGCCGAGATTTTTTGGAGTTAGAAAAGTCTTTAATCCTCCTCTATTGACCTAAACTCAGGAAACAAACCTAGATAGGTCAAATGACTTGCCCAAGCCCACACAGAGGGCTAGCTCTAGAACTGAAACTGAAGTGTGGGTTCCATGACCCAGTCCAGTCTCCTTCCACTCTGTTATGTTTTAGACCCCGTAACAGGTTCACAAAACAATCATGGAATGGGACCCACAACCACACACTAAAGGGAACTGAGTCACTCCGTTGCCAGGTCCAGGGCTGAAAAACACTTTAAGGCCCTTGTTCCACCAATGTTTGAGAATCACCCTAAGTCAGCTTAGGCTCAGGCTATAAGCCCTTGTCTGCTAATAAACCCAAGTATGTTGATGAGTCACATCCATGTCTATCTGCACCAGGGCTCCTGCCGCACTGGGTCAGCCGTGGGCCATCTGGCAGCCAAGTAGGCTCTGCTCTGCCAGGGAGCAGCCAGTAACTCTCTGGTTCTTCCTCTCTTCTCCTAAATGGCCTCTTCTTCTCCAGCCCAGCACCTTCCTTCACTTCCTCAGTCTTCCACTTAATTCCTCACCACTCCCTTCACATCTAGCAGACTACGCAATTAAATTTTTCTCAGTTTTGGTACTTTATACAGTACTTCTCTGCTTTAAAGCCTCCATGGTGCCTCAGTGTCTGCAAGATAAAGCCCACACTCTTTAGCATAGCACTTAAAGCTCATTTTCATCATGTGATGAGGGCTGAGGATGCCTGGTGTTGCTGGGCAGGCAGGTGACGTGTCCACACAGCCCTACTGAGGGCCTCGGGTGTCCTGGCCTCTTGGGTCCTGGCTCTCTGCAGACTGATATCTTCTCTGGAGCTCTCTTCATCCAGATGGCATTGGGCTGGAACCTGTACCTCTCCACAGGGATCCTGCTGGTGGTGACTGCCATCTACACCATTGCAGGTAGGCAGAGGGAAGGTCATGTTGGGCTGCCGAGACTGAGACAGGAAGAGGGAAAGAGGGAAGCTTTTGACTGGCAGAGACCACCCAGAGAGAAAGACTGAAGGAGAGACAACCAAAGAGAGACAGAGAGACATAACACTGATGCTGACAGAGAGAAAGAGAAACAGGAGAGGTAGAGACAAAGAAAGGCTGAGACAGAGAAGTAGAAGAACATAGGGGAACAGAATGAAAGACACAGGGACAGAGACCAGGGGGATGAAAAGGGCAGAAATGGGAGGAGGAACGGGTCAAGCAGAGAGAGGGAAGGACAGACAGTAATAAATACCAGAAAAGACTAACTGCCCAGGGAGCAAGGTAGAGAGGGGTACTATGACCCAAGCCAGAGTCACTGCAGGCTGCCCCAGGCAGAGACCACAACCCACCTCCTCCTGTTTCCTCTAAATCTCCTCGCACAAGGTTGGGCACCATGGGAGACCAGCTTGGGAGGACAGCCTTACTTATGGTTAAGTTGGGGTCCAGAGACGGGGTAGGGGGCATTTAGATGGACATTGGGAGGAGAAAGCAGGGAGTATTCCTGGCAGAACTACAAGCCAAGGAATGGACTTGGGATATTAAACAATAAGACAGAGCTGTGGCGTGATGGCCACAGTCAGCTGCTGTCAAGACAGAAAGAAGGGACCCCAGCACCTTTGACTGTGACCAGCCGGCATCCTGCCAGGGAGGGAGAGAGGGGAGCACTGGGTGTGGAGAAAGGCAGGTGGCCAGAGTTCCCGTGCTAAGAGGGCTCTGTGTCTTCTCTGGTCTCCCCAGTGTGGCCATGCATAGAGCAGGCAGCCAGAGAGGACCCCAAACTGGTGCTGACTGATGAGCCCTCTCCTTGGGTCCCCAGGGGGCCTCACGGCCGTGATCTACACAGATGCTCTGCAGACGGCGATCATGGTCGGGGGAGCCCTGGTCCTCATGTTTCTGGGTAAGAAAGAGACCTAAATACACCCCACCATCATTCTTAAATTCCTCTCTGTCCTGTCTCTGTCACCTCCAGAGTTCGATTGAAACTTTCCAGTGCTTAGAGCCATGTGAGCCATGTCCCCTCTCCAGGCTGCGGCTCCCAAAGATCAGGGTTCTCGCTACTTCAAACCAAGGGTCTTGAGCCCAAGCCCCATCTTCCTCTTTCACTCCCAATCCCCACGTCAGTTCCAACCTGAGAGCCCACATGAGGCTGGGGGCTGGACATGCTGAGTGACAGGCTCAGTGGGGTCTCAGGGCTGCTTCACTCACTGTCTCCTCACAGGCTTTCAGGATGTGGGCTGGTACCCAGGCCTGGAGCAGCGGTACAGGCAGGCCATCCCTAATGTCACAGTCCCCAACACCACCTGTCACCTCCCACGGCCCGATGCCTTCCACCTGCTTCGGGACCCTGTGAGCGGGGACATCCCTTGGCCAGGTCTCATTTTCGGGCTTACAGTGCTGGCCACCTGGTGTTGGTGCACAGACCAGGTAATCCCCAGCCAGGCTTAGCCTGAAGTGGGGTGGCTTCCTGCAGAAAAACCCAGCGCCTGCATGCACAGAGGGTTGGACCTCATTCTGGGATTGTGACTGGACTGGAGTAGGGGCAGTCACGCCCAGTGTCAGGGCTCACCTGTGGCTTAGTGAGCATTTCCTCAACCTGAGCTGCACTCCTCATTTGCTGCCCTTTCAGGTCATTGTGCAGCGGTCTCTCTCGGCCAAGAGTCTGTCTCATGCCAAGGGAGGCTCCGTGCTGGGGGGCTACCTGAAGATCCTCCCCATGTTCTTCATCGTCATGCCTGGCATGATCAGCCGGGCCCTGTTCCCAGGTAAGAGTGAGTCTTGCTCTCTGGGTGTTGAGATCTGGGGCTTTCAAGGAGTGTCTGGAGAATGGGAATTTGTCCCTCGGCAATGTTAGACCAGAGCAGGGGTTGGCAAGGTTTGTCTATTAAGAACACATAGCTAGGCATGGTGGCATGCACCCATATACCCAGCTACTTGGGAATGATGAGGATCCTGAGTCCAGGAGCTTGAGTCCAGGAGGTTGAGGCTGCAGTGAGCTGTGATTGCCCCACTGCATTCCAGTTTGGGAAACAGAGCAAGAGAAACCCTGTCAAAAAGAAAAGAAAGAACAGAACAGAACAGAACAAAACAGAACAGAACAGAAAAGAAAAGAGAGAGGGAAGAAGGGAGGGAGGAAGGAAGGAAGGAAGGAAGGAAGGAAGGAAGGAAAGAAGGAAGGAAGGAAGGAGAAAGAAGAAAAGAAGAAAGAAAGGAAGAAAAGAAAGAAAGAAAGAAAAAGAAAGAAAGAAAGAAAGAAAAAGAAAGAAAGAAAGAAAGAGAAAGAAAGAAAGAAAGAAAAGGAGGAGGAGGAGGAGGGAAGGAAGGAAGGGAGGGAGGGAGGGAGGCAGGGAGGGAAAGCAAAGGAAAGCAAAGCAAAGAAAGGAAAAGAAGGCCGGGCACGGTGACTCACTCCTGTAACCCCAGAACTTTGGGAGGCCGGGGTGAGGTCAGGAGGTCAGGAGTTTGAGATCAGCCTGACCAACATAGTAAAACCCCGTCTCCACTAAAAATACAAAAATTCGCTGGGTGTGGTGGCACGTGCCTGTAATCCTAGCTACTCAGAAGGCTGAGGCAGGAGAATCACTTGAACCCGGGAGGTGGAGGTTGTAGTGAGCCGAGATTGCGCCATTGCACTCCAGTCTGAGCGACAGAGCAAGACTCCATCTCAAACAAACAAACAAAACAAGATAGAAAGAAAAGAAAAGAACACATAGTAAGCAGTTTAGGCTTTGTGGGCCAAACATATAATAAATATTTCAGTAGAAAAAAATGTGAATCAGGTAGAAAGTATATGGGCAAGAAACTTACCAAAGACCTGGACACCATTTGCCCCTTGACCTTGAAGACACGGGTCCCTGTCAGTCTCCAGTGAACATTATCCTGTAGTTTTGGAAAGCAAATACTAGGCCAACCTGAGAAGGCACAAGATCATGGACTCTAACTGCCATCACTTCTTCCACAGACGAGGTGGGCTGCGTGGACCCTGATGTCTGCCAAAGCATCTGTGGGGCCCGAGTGGGATGTTCCAACATTGCCTACCCCAAGCTGGTCATGACTCTCATGCCTGTTGGTGAGTCTCTCCTCCCCAGCCCACCCTGCACTCTCACCTCCAGCCTCCTCCAATCTCCATTGCCCAGGAGGGATGGCACTAACATGGATGGGAAGAGGGAAGAAAACTATTCACCTCTGCACCCCCATCCTAACACACACACACACTTTTTACAAGCATTTGTACAGAAGACATCAGCTCTGTGGGTAGGTTCTGGAGATGTAGAGATAAAAGGCAGGCCCCTGCTCAGGCATCACGCGGTCTCCAGGGTGCCTGGACTTGCCAGAGGCACAGTCCAGTGGAACCAATGTGGTGACCCAGTATGGGTTAAGGGAGCCCTAAGAAGGAACCTGACCCAGCTGGAGGATGTCGGGAAGGTCTCCCAGAAGGAAGGAAATGGAGCTGCATCCCGAGTTAAATCTTAGGCAGACACAGTGGGAGGGGCATAGGAAATGTCATTCTAGGGATGAGAAGCTGTGCCTGCAAAGGCCCAAGGTGAAGAGAGGGCATGAAGTATGAGCTTAAAGAGGCCCAGTGTGGATGCAGGAGCCAGGAGGAATGAAGACAACCTTCCTGGTGGAGATGTCACCGCCAAGCCTTGTTCTGGAGCGGAGTGCTGGGACACTGGGGGGTTTTGGTCAGAGAGAGCATGACTGGCTTTGTGTTTCAGCAAGACCAGTCTGCGTGGACGACTCTGTATGAGGCAGGCTTGGGGGTAGGCAGGGAGATTGTCCATGGGGTGTTTGCAGTGGTCCAGGTAGGTGGACCAAGTCGGTGACATCAGAGATGAAGAGAAAGGATTTAAAGATGTTTGTGAGGTTGAATTGACAGGACTTGATTTGAGGGATAATACAGAGAAATCCTAGAAGGCTCCCAGATCTTGGCCTTTAGATGGTGGTTTTATAATGATATTGAGATTAGGGACATACGAAGAGAGGTAGGATTATGGAGGGCAGCAGAGAGTAGAGATATTCCCTCCCTGTGGTAGAAGGAGGAGTAAATCCAGGCAGTAGTGGCCATGGAGGGAGGCCCAGCTAGGACAGAGCTCCCCTGAGGGGCAGATTGGAGGTAAGCAGGGAGGGGAGCAGAGCAAGGGTCTCAAGTAGCCCTAAGCTCTGCTGTGGGGCTCGAAAGACAATAACTAAAGAGGGGAACAGAAGTCCCCAGAGGGACATGGGCACCTGAGTTTGGAGCACTTGAGTCTGAGGCACCTGTGGCGCTCCAAGGGAGAGAAATGGACATCAGAAGGTGGTTAAATATATGGATTTGGAGGGAAAGAGGACTGAGGTGGGACCCGGGCTGGGATGATCTCCCCAGGGGTGAGCACTCATATCTCTAGAAGCTTGGTCACCGTCAGAGAAACTTCTATATCAGTGGGCCCCATCCTCCCTTGTTCAAGTGGAAAAATAGGCCCAGAAATGGCAAGGAGCTAGCCCAAGGATCATACATACAACTGGTTACTTGCAGAGCCAGGAAACAAGCCCAAAGCTGCTACCTCCCAGGCCAGGGCTTTAGCCCAACACCACCATGTCAATGAAGAAGGTATAGAAACACTAAACAGATCCACCCAATTATTAATAATCACCTTTCTACTCTCCCCAGCAGCGACCCACTAACCAAGTATCTACAAGCTGTGAAACCTAGACTGAGATGTTAAAGCTTCAGAGAACCTAGTCCTACATGCCTTAATAGGATGGATGAGGAAACTGAGGCTCAGGGTGGGAGGTGGAGGGGCAAATGAGTCATGCAAGGCCACATAGAAAGGCAGGGAGAGAGCCTGGGCAGAACCCAACCTGTAGTTTTGTGGTCTTGGATTTCTTATGTGTGCTGGATGGGAGCCTCATCCAACCCCTTCCCTCTCTCATCCCCACCCCCAGCTCCTGACTCTGCAGAACGCTCCAACAGCTTCTGTGGTCCTGGCAGAGTCGGCCTTAACAGGCCAGCCATTCACATGAGCCTCATCTCTCCCCAGGTCTGCGGGGCCTGATGATTGCCGTGATCATGGCCGCCCTCATGAGCTCACTCACCTCCATCTTCAACAGCAGCAGCACCCTGTTCGCCATTGACGTGTGGCAGCGCTTCCGCAGGAAGGCAACAGAACAGGAGCTGATGGTGGTGGGCAGGTGTGCTGGCCCCTCCTTCCTTCCTTCCCAAGTGCCCTCTCCCCTCTCCCCTGCCCTGGGTTACCCGGAGCAGGTGTGGCTGGGTTGGACCCTGGACTGGCAGCCAGAGCACTGGGTTCAAGCTCCAGCTCTCCACATGATTTCAAGTAAGTCCTTTCCCAACCCTGGACCACTCCTTCTTTCTGAATAATAGGAAAAAACACCTCTTCCCTGGTAACTTTATCTTGGAATTGATCAACAGGGTTATTGAGAGATTAAAAAAGTACTTAAGAAATGAAAGGTAAGCTGTGTAAGCACAAGGAAATTTAGCAAGCAGCTCACCCAAGGTATTCCCAACCAACTCTGGATGTTACGCCCGGTTAAAAAAAAATGCTATTAATTTAATCCATCAGATTCACTCTGAACATCTACGATGCATCACATCCCACATGCAGGGGACCCACAGATGGGTCATATGGCCCTGCCCTCAGGGTGCTCACAGTTTAATAAGAAAGGTGGAAACACAGGTAACACAGCAAGGTATTTGCATCAATGGAGATTTTCACGGGAGGGCTGTCTCCAAATGATGCAGAGCCTTGGACACCAAGCTAAGGAATTTGAACTTTATCTGTGGATAACAGTTTTATGCTTTTAAAAGCCTAAGTTGGTGGCTACTATTTTTGGTTTTCCATAGGCTGGAGATTTGTAGTTCACATAAGGTTAAGGGGCCCTTTTTAAAATCTTCGTTTCATAATCGAAGGTTCCCTTACTTGGGTTTCTGGACTAAAGTTCTCCCACTTTGTGGCTAGGAAATTGAATTGAGGAATCTTGCTTTTTCACATCTCCCTGCCTTTGCACTCACTGTTCTTTCCACCAGGATGCCTTATGCCCAGGGCTGCCTAATGGATTCCTACTGCCTGCTCATCTGTGCACCCCCAGCCCTAGGCAAGGGGACTGGCAATTGCAGGATCTGAGTGCAGGACAGATTGTGCAAAGAGGAGGGGGATGAGCGGCAGGGAAGCTACTTGGGTAGCTGATGCTCTAGTGGAGTCTAAGAGAGGCAAAATGGGAGGAAAAGGAGAGGGGAAGACAGGTATGCAGTGACATGTCAAAAGAAGCATTCCTTATGTGTGCACATAAACTGGTTTTGCTATCATTTCCTCAGTCAGTGAGGTTCGGGCTCTATCTACTGGTCATATGTGTTATTGCACCCAACACATCCAAGAAAAGTTTTTCATCTACTTCACACATCTGCAAAATCATACATGCAGAATGCTTTGGGGACTTAGGTCTGAGCCACAGTTTGTTGAGAGGGAGTCAGGTGAATAAGTGGGATTCTTTCCCAAGATCAATGCCACAGTAAGGGAGAGAGGATCAGCGCCTGGAGGAGGGAGCAGTTCCTGGAAGCTGCAGTCATGCTGGGAAAGAGCTGCCTTACATCGGGCTGGGATGGAAAAGAGGGGAAGACATGCTACGCAGAGACCAGAGACCTTTTACTGGGGCGGGGGTGGGGCGGAATGTATGAATTCCGCCGTGAACAGCAACAGCTGGGTGACGTGACCTTGAAGGCATCTAATATATAAGTGCCACGGAGGCATTAGAATTATAAGTTTCTTCAATTCCACAATTCCGATATTCCGGGATTTTGAGACTAAGTTTCTGAATCTTAGTGTTTGAGATTCTGGCTGCCAACCTTCACTGATCTAGTGACTGTGCATTTCCCTCCCTTCTCCCTTCCTGGTTCCTGCCCATGACCTTCACCCCACACCACACCATGCCCACCCGAGTGTGCCTCAGTGCCCTGTGCTCTCTCTGGCAGAGTGTTTGTGGTGTTCCTGGTTGTCATCAGCATCCTCTGGATCCCCATCATCCAAAGCTCCAACAGTGGGCAGCTCTTCGACTACATCCAGGCTGTCACCAGTTACCTGGCCCCTCCCATCACCGCTCTCTTCCTGCTGGCCATCTTCTGCAAGAGAGTCACAGAGCCCGTGAGTGCAGTGCACCTGTCTCTCACATACAGCAGAGGGGCTGGAGACCTGGTCTCTCAATCACCTGGTCTCTGTGACCTTGGGAAAATCCACCTCCCCTCTAGGCTTCCATTTTCCTGACCATAGCATCTGGCCTAGATTCATTCATTCACTCAACAAACATGTATCAGTCTTATAATGGCAGCTCCAGGGATGCAATGGTTTATGAGATTCATATAGCTGTGCCATCGCTGGGCTGGCAGAGAGATAACTGAATAAGCAATAATAATAAAGTATGCTGGCTGGTGGGAGAGTAAAGAGCACAAGCACCTAACCTATGGGGCTCCTGGGAGGGGTCAGGGAAGACTTCCTGGATGAAGTGACATCTGAGCTGAGGCCTGAAGGATTAATGGGAGGGGGAAGAATGTTCCAGACACAAGGAACAGTGTATGTGAACGTGCAAGAGAGACTGTAATATCTCTAGGGTCTGTTCCATCTCTAACACTATAAGGTTCTATGTGTAAGCAAAATAACAGCAATGACAATGATGATGACAAAGTGTGACCTTACAAGGGTTCCTGCACATGCATCATTCATGCAACGGCCCTGAAACCTGAGAGAATCTGGGAGGAAGCAAGGGGTACCCCAGGACTGGAGGCTTGGTTACTCCCCAGGATAGCCTAGAAGAGACAGGCTGGCTGTACCCTGAGAAGCTGATGGATATCATGGACACCGCTCCACAAAAACAATGTGAGAGTTCAAGGTCATTGAAAATGAGGTCATAGAACCCCCTCCCTTGATAGTACACCTAAGCAAGTGTCTACTGTCTGCACAGGTCTCATCTCACTGACAACGATGCCACACAGCAGGACCTGGATGAACTCTGGGTGTTTCTGCTCATTCCAAAGTTTTTGAAATCAGGATCAATATCTCCCATACTCTTACATGCTGGGAACAGGTACAGGTTAGGGCCAAGTGGAGGTATAAAGAAGAAAGACATGAGAGGTACCAGAGCTTTTCTTAAAAACAACAACAACAAAAGGGAAGTCTCTATTCTGATTTCTGATTTATCATAATAGAAGGTTGGGAAGGGGATCCTGGTATTCCCTGATTATTACAAAAGTTTATTCCATTGTAGTTGAATATTAACCATCTATTAATTACTTAGTGCTGTCTTAATTTTATGAATTTTTAAATTACTGCCCCCGATGAGACAACTCTGAGTCAGCAAGGCTGAGTCATTCGTTCAGTCAGTTCACAATGGAGCCAGGATTCAAATCTTAGTCTATCTGACTCTACAACCCCTATGCCACTGTGCCTTTCAGTCAAGACAAAGTCTCAGTACTAATGGGGAACTCATTTCCCCATTAGTAGATGGATTTTCCCAGCATGGTAATAAACCAATGGGAGACAGATTTGGGGACAGAGTAGTTTTACCTTCCTAGGGTCTCCCACCTGGATCGCACCTCAGCTCATGTCTGCCCTCTTTCACAGGGAGCTTTCTGGGGCCTCATGTCTGGCCTGGGAGTGGGGCTTCTGCGCATGATCCTGGAGTTCTCATATCCAGCGCCAGCCTGCGGGGAGGTAGACCGGAGGCCAGCAGTGCTGAAGGACTTCCACTACCTGTACTTTGCACTCCTCCTCTGCGGGCTCACTGCCATCGTCATCATCATGGTCAGCCTCTGTACCACTCCCATCCCCGAGGAACAGGCAAGTGTTGTGCTCATACTGAGGCCCTCCAGAAATGCTCTCCCTTCCCCCATAGCCTGGAATTCCACTGCTGACTTTTACTTTGTTGGGTTATGATCTCCCCTCTGGCCACTCAGATGTCCTTGGGAGGGAAAGTTCCTTGGGCTATGAATTCCCCAATGAAAAGTAATTCATTCAACTCAAAAATTACTCAGTGAGTACTTACTATGTGCTAGGCACTGTGCTGGGCTTACAAAGATAAATGGTCCCTGCCAGAGTTTATCCTCAGGGGGAAACAGAGCTGACACAAGCTGCCACTATACAAAGAGAAAGTGCAGAAGGGCCAAGCTCAATCGGAGGGGCCAAGCACAGAGGGAGAGGCAGTCACCTCCTGGGGGCCCAGGGAGGGCACACTGATGAGGACACTTTGAATTAGACCTTGAAGAATGAATAGAGAATTTTAAGTGGCCAAGAAACAAATACAAGAGAAAAGAAACAGAGAGCTTATTAAGTGAAGAACTCAAATTGAAATCCTCACCTCTCACAAGCAACAGCCCTTGAACACTGATGCTTGGTCTTCTGCGGCCTTTTTTCCTTACAGCCTAGAGGTAGAGCTGCTGAAATAAAAGACCACTGGTTGGGTGACTTAAGCAACAGAAATGTATGGTTTCACAGTTCCAGTAGCAGGAAGGCTGAGATCAAGGTGTCTGCAGCGTTGGTTTCATCCAAGGCCTTTCTCTGTGGCTTGTAAAAAACTGCCTTCTCCTTTTGTCTTTACACGGTCTTCCCTTGTGCCTGCCTGTGACTGAATCTCCTCTTCTTTTAAGTCATAATGGATTATGGCCCATCCTGGTGACCTCATTTAACCTTAATTGTCTGTAAAGACCCCATCTCCAAATACAGTCACATTCTGACGTACTGGCGGTTAGGATTTTGACATAGAAATTTTGGGAGGACACAATTCAGCCCATAACAGAGCCCATGCTGGAAGTCAGTCCCTGAAACACGGAGTGGATATCAGGGATAATACTCTTTTGATGGATGGTTCTTTAGAGTTTGCAAGATGACTTTATACCCTTGGTTTCACTGATTCCCACAAAAAAAGCAGGGCCTTCCCAGGCTGACTTTTCCAGTGGCTCACACCAGAAATGAGCCCCTCCTCCCGCTGAATCTTCAACCTCTTCTCCATTGCCTGTTTCCTCCCTCTTCATCCTGAAGTCTTCCCCAATTGAAAATCCTTCCCTGAATCCTGTTATCCTCTAGTTCCTGCTGCCTCCCTCTCCTCCCTTCAACAGCAGACTTTTGCAAAGAATGGTTTCCTTTCCCAGCCTCCACTTCCCACCTCTTGTCTGTTTCTCAGCTGCTGCTGTCTGGCTGTTGTCCCCAACATTCCGCTGACATTTCTCTCACTGAAGTCACTGATAACATCTTATTGCTAAAATCAAAGGTCATGTTCCTGTCTTTATTTTAAATGAATTCCCAAGAGAACTGGACACTACTGACCACTTCCTGCACCCCGAAGACCTCTCTTCTGTTCCCTTCCATGAAATATCTCTCCCCTAGGTTTTGTATTTTTGTTGTTTGTTTGTTTTGACTACCCTTCCAATCACTCTTTTGACTTCTTCACAGGCTTCTCTGTCTGCGCTGAAAAATCAGTGTTCCTTAGGAACCCATCTATGGCCTATAACCTCTCTCACCCTACAACACTCCTGGGCTATCAATTCACCACTTTCTATGTAAAGTTGACTCTCAATTCTCTATCTACAGCCAAAACCCCTCTCCCAAGATTCAAACCAAAAATCCAACTGTCCCCTGATGACATACAGAGACATAGTCCATATGCTACTGGTGACACCCAGTAGAAGTATTAGGTAAGGTTTATTGAGAGATACTTATAAGCAAGGAAGCTTCCCAGGCTCTCATGATCCCAGAGAGATGCATGCCTGGGACCAGCATAGCGGAAAGTAAGAAGTTGGGAGCAGGATAGGGGATACCCAGCTCAACATGCACCAGAAAGCTGCCTCAGAGCTCAGGCAGTGGTAAGTCCCACACCACCGATATGAGGCAGAGAACTGCTGTGTTTTATTTTGCTGAGTCACCAAAAAGGAGAAGAGAGAAAGCCACCAGGGCCATCCAAGGAAGTAAGTTTTATTTCTCCTCACCTGAACATCTCCACTAGGACGGCCTGCAGACTCCTGAAGCACATCATCATATTTGTGTGTGCACATGTTCTCTCTCTCTCTGTCTCTGTCTCTATCTATCTCTATCTCTCTTCTTTCTCTCACCAGCACTAATACCCACTCCTTGTCCTGTGTTCTTTATTCCTGGGAGAGGCACCACTACACGTCTGGTCACCCAAGGCAGGAACTCTGGAGCTGTATTAGCCTCTCCCATGTCCCTCACCTGGCTCTTTCAGTCAGTCACACTGTTCTGATTTCACCTCCTTTATCCATTTCCTCAGGTGTCCATTATTTTTGGCTTCATTTTTGCATTATCTTCCAATCTGGACCCCTTTCAATTCACTCCAAGAGGTCTTTGAAGATTCTGGCACTTACAGTCTCTATCTTCTTCTTAAAGTCTGCAGTGACTCTCCATTGCCTACAGGGTTTTTGCTCTTTAGGTCACAACTCCTCAGCCTGACCTTTGAAGCCTCATTCTCAAGTGCCTGCCTCCCTGTCCAGCCTCGTTTCCCTCAGTCTGTAAAATCCATGAGGACAGGACCCAGGTGTGTTTTAGGTCTGTATTCTAGCACCTGGCACAAGCCTGGGGTAGAGCACTTGATGTAGAGCAGGGAGTGTTCATATTTGAAGAAAGAGGAAGTCAGGGCTAAGATCCAAGCCTTAGGCAAGTCTAAGATCAAACTTGACTCCCAGTGCTGGCCTTGTTCATTGTACTCTTTGCTGTTTTTCGGATGGCCTTCCACAAATGGGCCTCTGTTTTTCTACAGCATGACTTCTCTCCAAGGCAACTGACTCCAGTGTCTTCTTTCCCTCCAGCTCACACGCCTGACATGGTGGACTCGGAACTGCCCCCTCTCTGATCTAGAGAAGGAGGCCCACGAGGGCACACTGGAGATATCCGAGATACCAGCCGGGCAGTGCCCCGCAGGAGGTGGAGCAGCGGAGAACTCGAGCCTGGGCCAGGAGCAGCCTGAAGGTAGGCTGCGGCAGGCCGGGGGATACTCATCACAGAGGAACAAGTGGGCACAGACTTATGTCGTGGGCGGCCTTTGGGATGGGGCCTCTGAGGAAGCCCAATAAATATCACCCTAACTCCCTTCCCACATGGCTATTGAACTATTAGAAAAATAAGATAAATGAGTTAGGTAGATGGGAGCCAAAACAGTGCCCTCATTACTGATCAAGTGTAAGTGGAAAGAGTTGGTTTATATCTGTGGGGAGATCCACTTCTTAATACTGAACCCCCATATTCCACGGAGGTACCCATCCAGTCACCAGCAGATCTGATCGGGGCACAGAATAAAGAGGGCATGCTTGGCTCAGCCCTGTCCTCCCTATAAAGAAGGGCAGGGCTGAGCTAAGCATGTCCTCTTTATCCTTCCCAAATCCACCCACATGGAAGTCCCTTCTCTCCTAGGCTGAATGAGTATAAGGGCAGAAAATCAAAGAATGTTACACCCACGGGGTTCCCTCCACATGGAAGGAAACATGAGGCATGACAAAGAAACCCCTCACCCGTGTCCCCACCACCACTTTTCTTTATTATTTATTTATCTCTCGGGGCTCAACAAGTCTGCCTACAGTCATACAGAAGCGTGGTTGTCCCTCGTGGGATGAGAGCAGCCATGCCTCCATACAGTTGTTTTGTTTCCTGAGGTTCCTCCAAAACACCCTCCCACACCTCCGGGTGTCTCCTCGAGCTGCCGATGAGCCATGTGACATATGAAGTGCATCCCTGGGGGTTCCTACATGTGTTAGAAGAGTATGTCAGCTAAATCTACTTGAAGGCCACACAGTATCTACAGTTGAAAATTATTTTAAGACATGATTTGAGGTACCTGTGTTAGACACAATGCAGCTATCACCTTCCTGAGTTAAATGAAATAACAATATTAAAACATTCTAATGATAGAGTGAAAACATTATAAAGATTTTTTTCAATTAAAAAAATCCCAAGGAAAATGTTAAACTCTATAAAGCTCTACCTGGGTGACAAAATAATCTATATGCCAAATCCCAGTGACATGCAATTTACCTATATAACAAACCTGCACATGTATCCCTGAAACTAAAATAAAAGTAACAGAAAAAAAAAAGTGTCCCAGGAAAATAAATAAATAAATAAAATCCAAAAAGTTAAATAAGTTTGCAAATTAAAGTCCGAAATCAATCTCTCTTGCCTTTGTGAATTAAAAATTCAAAGAAATTTAATTCTTAGATCTATTTTCTGCCTCAGTGAAAGAAGGTCTCAATACAAGTAGATGAATAAGACATAGTCTCTGTCCCCAAGGAGGTGAGAATCTCTTGGAGGCAAACAGGTAGTGCAAAGATGTAGAGTTTACACTAAAATGGACAAAAATGTCAATAATGTAGTAATATTGGGCTTTTAAACACAATGGTATGCCATTGTTTATAACATCCAGGCAGAGAAATAAAATGCATCTTCATGTGAAAAAACAGTAAAATCATTAAGTTTTTTAAAAAACAGGTCTCAGTGCCTGGATGGAGTTAGGGTTCCCTCAGCAGCTGCAGCTACTTTCTCTCATTGGATTGGCCGTAGCTCTAGTTTTATACCAGCCTCTCTGGGCCAAACTTTAAATATTTCTAGTGAGCTAAGAGCATAGACAGGATTAGCAAAGCATCACTTGCTGCACCAGCATGGTTGGCAATGCCATGCCACTCGGTTCTCGTGCCTTTGCCAGGTTTGAGGGGCCCTATACTTTCCTCCAGACCTGCAAAGGATTCCACCTTTCTTGAGGCCCTTCACCTTTGCTTAAGGCCTTGATTCTAGAGAAACAGCCACTTGCCTAATGTTAATGACATCACAACCCCCAGAATCCCACCAAGGTCTAAGGCTCAAAGCTTCTTCCCAAGCTACGGCAGTTAAAAGCCAATAATCCAGTATAAAAAGCTATTCATAACAATGGATATATTTTTTTCCAAACTTTCGTGGTTAAAACCCACATAGGCTCACTTCAGAAGATACTACCAAAGATCAACATCACCCTGCCTGGTCTTATCAGTTGCCCCTATTACTTCATGATATTTTGCTTTGCAAATATATATATATATATATATATATATATTTTAAACTGCTCCCCCATCATCATTGCAAAGACTGGGTCCTGGGCCTTGTAAAACTTATGGTATTCAAGAAAGCAATCTGAAAGCATGAGCTTTTGTAGATGAGGCAACTGCCAAGAGAAGGAGGAAGGAAGAAGGGGCAAAGCTGCAAAGAAGCTCCTACAGAGAAAGAGGAAGGAGACAGCTTGTACTTTCCCACTGCTGAACCCCAGAACTAGGCAAACTTACACAGAGTTACACAAATGAAACTACTCCCTGGTTGGTCCCCAGGCCAAGGGACAGAGTCATCCCTGGAGAAGCCGAGAGGAATGCCTGCTCCCTGTGGATGACTTGCTCCCAAGCAAGAAAAAGGAGGCACCAAGTCAGCCAAGAAGTCCAATGAGAGAAGCTCACCCCCCTTCACAGACCACCACCATGAGGAAGTAGAAGAGTAGGGAAAGGCTGGTGCTATTATACATTAAAGCTCCTTCCCTGCCCAGAGAAACAAACATCAGAAATAGGGAAAAGGCACCCTGTCTCAAAAAACCTGCAGGCAGGCATAAGCCAGGCAGTATAATGTTGAGTCCTGAAAAGGAAAGTTAAAAATATTTAAAGGAGGCTGGCACAGTGGCTCATGCCTGTCATCCCGGCACTTTGGGAGGCCAAGACAGGGGGATTGCTTGAACTCAGGAGTCAAGACCAGCCTGGGCAACATGGCAAAACCCCGTACCTACAAAAAATGCAAAATTTAGCAGGGTGTGGTGGTGCACACCTGTGGTCACAGCTACTCAGGAGGGTGAGATGGGAAGATTGCTTGAGTCCAGAAGGTTGAGGCTACAGTGAGCCATGAATGTGCCACTGTACTCCAGCCTGGGCAACAGAGTGCGACCCTGTCTCAAAAAATATATATATTTATATATATATATAAAAATATATATTTTTTAAAAATATAAAATATGTATATAAAATATTTTTAAATAAAATATATATATATATATATATATATATATATATATATATATATATATTTAAAGGACAGCAGAGTAGATCTGAAAGAAATATGTACATCCCAGGTTTCAGATATGAATTTATTGAGTTATGGCACACCACTTAATAACTCCTTTAGTGACATAGGCTCTCTGGGCAAAGGAATTTAAATATGAAGCTCTGTGCATCCTCTGTCTCAGAAGTTTGCCAAGGGAATCAAAAGAGAGAATGTTTCAATCAGCTTGGAAAATGATAAAGCTTAGTACAAATGAAATGCTGAATTCATATTACCATTAGTGCAGTTCTGTTGCTATGTGACCTTAAATAAATCTCTTCCCTTTCCTGAGACTTTTTTCGTCTCTGTGCAATCAGGGAGCCAGACCAGATGGCATCCAAGGTTCTTGCATCTCTGACACCCTGTGGTTTTATTGAACTTACCAGCTACCACACTCTAAACACATTAAAATAATAAAGCATTCATTCCCAGTGCATTCTTTTCAATCTCAGTGAAAGGATTTTTATATTAATTTTATTTGTGATATAATATCTGTTGATTTAAAAACACTTAAAAATATTTACCTTATTAATTCTTTTGAATTTAGTTTTTAGTGAATTGTGCTATATTTTAACCTCAGAGCAGGCCCCTTTCTCACCCCGAGGAAGCCCGTGTCGCCATGGGTTTGGTCTCATGTACATTTAGAATATCATATGCACCAGAACCTCTCCCACTGCTCCAGCACTGGTAACTTTTTAAAGTGCTGTCCAATTTCCATCCTCATTTGGTAGTCAGAACAACCCAGAGAAGAATGGGGTATATGTCATTGATACATCTGAGACAGAAAGAACCTCCAGCTCAGAGAAGCTGAGTGATTTGCATATGGCCTCACAGTCAGCTAATGGCAGAGCTGGCCCTGGAACCAGGTTTCTGGCTTGCAGCCCAGTGCCCTTTCCAATTGCAGTTGTGGCAGTCTGCCTGGTTCAAACGCTTCCTTCTTCCTGGGTGAGATAATGCTCCTTCCTTCTGCCCTTATTCAGAACTTGTGCTATGAATTGGGATGAACTGCATTATCCTGCCACGTTTACACACCATCCCCTCTCCAAGAAAGTAGTGCTTCCACTACATGAGTGTTTGGATGCTGTGGCCAAGGTCAGAACTTAGTCTAGAGTACCAGCTCAGCCCTCGGTCTGTAGTTTGCAGAAAGTACAAGTCAATAGCTTCACCCCTCCCCATTTCCTGTGCACCCCCCATACTTTCCTTCAGTTTCTCACCATCTCTCTCCCTCCCCTACTCTCCTATCACTTTCCTTTCTCCAATCTTCTTTGCCTTTCCCCTCCTGCTCCTCTTCCTCTTCTGGCTTTGTCCCTCCAGCCCCAAGCAGGTCCTGGGGAAAGTTGCTCTGGAGCTGCTTCTGTGGGCTCTCTGGAGCACCGGAGCAGGCCCTGAGCCCAGCAGAGAAGGCTGCGCTAGAACAGAAGCTGACGAGCATTGAGGAGGAGCCACTCTGGAGACATGTCTGCAACATCAATGCTGTCCTCTTGCTGGCCATCAACATCTTCCTCTGGGGCTATTTTGCATGATTCCCCAGACCTGGCTTCAGTGTAAACAGACTAACAAAGCTCAAGTCTGTCAGCCACAGAAACAGGCTCTCCTCTTACTTTGCTGTCTAAACTGGAGACCACAGAAGTCAAGACTGCAAGATCCCCTGAGGAGAATCCAACTCAACCTGCACACTTGACGAGTGGAGAAACAGAAGCCCAGAGAGAGCACTGGGTTTGTTCAGGGCCACCCAGCAGGAGTCACACGGGGTTTCCCCACTCTTTCTGATACATTGCCTTACAGACCTACCTCAAACACACTGTTTCCATCCTCTTGTTGAATGTATTCAGTAGCTTTACTGAATGTGTGTCTTGAGGTTAGAAAAGTGGAGGATACAAGAAAAGGAGCAGCAAGAAATTTGCAAAAATCCAAGAGCACTTTTGCTCCCCGTTATCCTCCTTCCTCTTCCCCTTTCTGGCTCCCCTACCTCTCTATCTTTCTATTCTTACCAATAATCTGTTTGTAGCATGAATTTACCCAGGAGGGTCCTATATTTCCATTGGTGGCTCCACAGTGGTGGCTGTCAGACCCGAAGGAGTGGGGAGCCAAGGGTGGACTTTAAGCATGGTGACAGATGGTGTTTTGGGCAGAAAGCTCTTGGACAAGGGACTATCCAAAGCACTATTTAAATTCTGCCTCTTCCTACTCTCTAGCCCAAATATGCACAAAATCTCTATGGCCTTGAAAAACAGAGAGACATGACTTGTGAAAACCACGAGGAATCAAGACATGTTACTCTGTATTTAAGGATAAGCCCCACAGTGGGCAGCACAAACAGCCTGGGAGCCACTGTGCCTGTGCCTCTCTGTCCTTCTCCCTTTGCTTGCCGTGTATCTGCATACCTTGGAATACACTGTGACCCCAGTTAAGTGTCCCTTCGCCAGGAAGCTGCCGCAATGTCCAAACCTGGGTCAAGGTCCCACGCCTGCTCCCATAGCCCTGGACCTGCTTCTGTCACAGCACTGATCACACCGAGATGGAAGACTCCAGGGGGCAAGGACCAAGGGCCATGTCCCAAGTGACTTTGTACCCAGAAAATAACAGCTGTTCAATAAGTGTGTATTGAGTTAATTAGTTCTCCATGGTCCTGGTAGGCTTTGTGCTGCGGCTGGCTGGGTAGTAACTTGGGGTGTTAGCTGTTAGGGATGAGTCTCCTTGACTTGGAGTTTAAGTAACTGAGTCTCAGACACCTAGAGTGAGATCACAGCCCCAGTTTACTGACAGACACCAGGTGTGGGCGCGCCTTTCTTCTCCTATCTCCCAGTTGAGGCTGCCCCTACTCTCATCCATTTATACTGACTAGTAATTACAACTGGATAAAAATAAAATTCTATTTCTTTGAGGTGTAGACACAGCAGATTCCATAAATACCTCCTGTTGCTGCAGCCTCCAAATTTTTGTTTCCATTGACCTTGTGACCTTGCTTCTCACTTTAGTTGGCTCTGCCCTCTCTGTTGTTTCCCGTTAATCCTTACTGAGAACTCAGTTTTCCTCTGATTGCTCCCAAAACCTTTCACACTAGTATTTGTGTGTGACATATTATATTGAAGGTTTGGGGAGAAGAATTCTAAACCACAGAAGCACAATCTAAAATTGGATACTGAATATCTTACTTTTAGATGTTCCTCAGGAGCCTGCTCCCAGAATTTCTCAGAGGTCTCTTCCTTAGTCTCCAACTTCCTGCCTTCTGCCTGGCTCTTTGTCCCCTCCCCCTTTGTAGATTTGAGAGATGTTTCTCCATTCCTCCAATCTTGGCCCTCCTCCTCCTCCTTTATTGTCCTGAGCCTCTACTGAACTCCGGACGTATCTCATCTGACCCAAAGACAAGACATGCTGTTGAATACAGCAGGACTGCAGAAGGGTGGCCACTCCTCTTCCCTACCATTTTGCCTGATTAATTCCTACTTGTTCTTCACATCTCAGCTCAAAAGTCACATCCTAAGTAAAGCCACACAGTCCTGGTAATGATCTAAGCACAGACACCTACATCCCAAACATGAACCCCTAACACCCAAGATACAGTCTCATGATCCCCCAACTTTGCCTTCAAAGCATATGTCAGTGTATACTACTATATTTGTGTGATTCTTTCATTAATAGGCATCTTTCCCTAGATTGTGAGTTCCCTACTGAATCCCCTTCACCTAGATAGGTACCTGGCATATGGTGGGTACAAAATTCTGTGTTATATGAATAAGTGAAAGAATAAATGAATGAAATGAGTGAGTGAAAGGGTGCCCCTAGCAGAGGAAACCAAAGATTAAAAACAAAAAGCTGGGAAAAATCATACATAACTAGGGACAAAAATAGTTTGAAATGTCGGGAGTGGAAGATACACGCGGACAGGACCGCTGCTAGTCCTTATGCTTCATTGTGAAACTGAGCAAAAGATGCCTTTTTTCTTGGCAGATACAGATCCTCACTATAGGGTGACAGGTGGCAGCCAGAGCCCATGCTCACTTCAGCTCCCACATGCCCCTATTGGCCAGGTGTATTTGTGCAGGGTACCACCTGCACATGCATGAGTGGTAGGCCTGCATGTTGGAGAATGTGTGGTGCAGTGACTGGGAGGTAAGCAGGTGATAGCTCAGGAAGGAGGTTCCATGCTAAACTTGGGACTTCATCTCTTGTCTGGATCATTTCTACAGCCCCTTGATTCTTATCTCTCTTCCCAGTCTCTCTTCTTGCAATTCATCCTATGCACTATAGCAAGAATGATTTTTCTAAAATGCAAATATTGTTCTATCTATTTAAGACTCTCCACAGATGGTGTTTTCCAGCTTGGCGTGAGATGCTATGAAAATTGCTAGAAATATATCCCAGGGTTTTGTCCCTTCTATACTACAGCCAAAGAGAGGCTGTTATGTGCAGTGGTTAAGAAGACTGCAGGGGCTTGAAAGACTGACCCTCTGGAACCAAATCCTCATTCTGTCATTTTCTAATGACAAGATATTGGAAAAGTTGCTTAACTTCTCTATCTTTTCTCATCCACAAAATAGAGACAGTAATAGCAGCTACTTCACTGGGTTGATGAGAAGATTAAATTAGTTAATTCAAATAAAGTATTTAAAATAGTGCCTGGCATATAACTAAAGTACTTAATAAATGTTAGCTATTATTGAGACAGCCAGGTGGGACGGGCTCCCTGGCAAAACTCCAACCGGCCTATGCACTGAGAGGAGTGCACACTGGGATGGAGCCACAGACATTCGTGCCATTTGCAGCAGGGAGGAGCCTGGCCTCTCCTCTTCTTGGGTGGAACCTGGAATTCAATCTGTGAGGTGGGATTCCTACACTAGCAGGAACTCTGGCCTTGCAGAGAGTCCCTGTTACCTCTTTTTTCCTTTTTGCCCAATAAATCCTGTTATTCTCACCCTTCAAATTGTGAGCCTAATTTTTTATGGCCATGTGATAAGGACCTGGCTGTTAGCTGAACTAAGGAAAACATCCCACATTATTACTGCTATTAGTAGCAGGCAAGATGAACACATAAGGAGGCATGACATTACGTAGCAATGTTATTTTAGATCTAGCACAAAATGCTGTCAGAGAAAAGAGCAGGGAGGAATTTGTTCTACCAGGGAAATCAGGAAAGGGCAGAACATAAAATTGCATAATAGAGCTGGAGTTTGAAGGATGAATGAATGGGAGTTTTCTAGAAAAAGTCATACAAGGTAGTGAGGCACCATGTGCAAAAGGGTTAAGGTACAAAAGTGCACAATGAATTCTCATGAAATAGTGATACTATTTATTCATTTGTAAATGTCAACCCTGCATATTTAATTTCCCCTTATAAACCCTGTCTGTATTTAGCCTCTTGCCTCTAAGGCAGAGCTGTGAAGATTACTGACGAGGGACTGAAGAGAATGGGCATTGCACCACTGGGGCAGAGGCTATTGTTGTCCTTGCCCATATCCTCTAGGTCTCAGCAGTCCTGTTTGCTGTGACTTCCTGCTGAAAGTCCCTTCACCGCTCTGCTGAGGGCTTTCTCTGATTGTAGAGAAATGTTCAATCCCTGCATACAACAAGCTAGAAGTGCTGGGAGTTGACACACCTGGGAGCAGCCTTGAACCAGCGACGAAAAAGAGTTTGAGGATAAGCACTGTCAGTCCCTTGCCCTGAAGTGGGACAACTTGGAGCCTTGCTCTAAAATATCTTTCAGAGGTTCTCAGGGACAATGAGGCACAGCTGCCCACCATGTTAATATGTCCATTAACACACCCTGCATAGCTCCCTTCCCTTTCCTGTCTCATTTCCCCATTTCCTGGGTGGTGTTTCCTGGGATCTCCTCTGAAATAAACCGCTGGCACCTGGTCTCACGTGCTGCTTCTGGGAAACCAAACAAAGACAGTTTTTTTTTTTTTTTACAGGAAATCAGGCTTTGAAGTTGGGCTTTGTGGAGTGGGAAAAGGGTAAAGTCTGGAGGATTTTGGCCATGAAGTCTTACCCACAGGGAGAGAAGCTCTCCTGTCTAGTATCGAGTCTTAGCCTTGCTGCTGGCCACAGGAAGTGGGTGCTGAAGGGAACGTTTTCAGGCAGAGGGAACAACCCATACAAGGAGATCTATGAGTTTATCTCCAGTTTTGAAGTTTCACAATCAAGATTTCTTTCATTTTGGCACTAAACGCTATCAATAATGTCATGGGCCGCACCTTGTTCCAGGCACTAGGGGTACCATGGTGTTCAAGCTTTGGCACCTTCTTAGTTCTCAGTTAGACTCAGTTCTCTGAGGACCAGGATGTTTCTCCTTTAACTCTTATGATGCAGTAAAACAGCCAATGTGGTGGAAAGAAAAGGACCCTAAGCCGAAAGTCAGGAGACTTAAGCTCCATTCCTAGGGTGTCGGGGAGAGTCCGAGGCAAACAGTGAATCGCTGCAGTGCAGGAAGCTCACAGGTCAGGGTCAGTCCTAGAAGGGTTCTCAGTGATGAGCTAATCAGACTCGCACATTTCACAGAAAGAGACACTGGAGAATTCTAGAAGGGATGGGACTTGCTTAAGGCCATGCAAGGATTCAGCAACAATTATCCAGGCCCTTGAAGATGAAAAGTGTTTCAGGGGTAGTGGGCAAGCCAAGAATGATATAGGAGGGGCTGGAGAAACAGGCATGTTGAGGCCTATATTACCACCAATCCCTGGGCAGGTCTACTGAAGGCACACATGTCACACGCACATTAACATTTTCATTAATGTGTCTGTCACACTCACCATTTGAAGGGGTCTCCAAGGTCCTCTCATTCAGCCCTACTTCCCATATCCCACGCCATTGTTCATGCGGCTCCCTTTGCCTGGAACACTTACCCTTGACCTTCTACCTATCTCCTATCTACCTTCTGCCTATCTCCTACTCACCTCAGGAAGCATTTCCTACTAACTTTTCATGCTGCCTCCTCCACTCACCCAAGTTGGTTTTGTGTCCTTCCTCTGAGCCTCCACAGGCCCCTGTGTTTCTACCATAGCAAGTTTCATGCAAGTGTTATAATTATTTTCATTTCTTCTTTGCCATAGACTGGTGCTCTTTGAAAGTAGGCATGGTGTTCATCTAGGGGTTGCATTGTTTTAGGACATTTAGTAAGCTCTTCATAAATGTTCAGTGAATGAGTGAATGAATGCATGTTCAATTTACTCCATTATATTTTGGCCCTGGATTCCTTAGTTCTTAGCCACAATCAAGAGAAAGAATAATAAACAATATCTGTACAATCTGTATAGACTTTAGAGTTACAAAGTCCTGCCACGGGTGAGGTCTCATTAAATTCCTACAACTCCTAGAGGTAGGTAGACAAGTATCTCCTTTTCAGAAAGGCCGGTCAACACCCAAATGTGAACTTCAGGACAGCCTCTAAAAATTAAAAAGCAAAGCAGCCTTTTTTGTCTCCAAGTTCCAACAACCCCCTTCACATTCAGAATGTCCCGTGTATTTGAGGAATCTCAGAGGGTAGCATTCACCATTTGTGCCTCAGTTGTTCCAGTCTAATGTGAACCTTCAGCCTCATTGACTCTAATGCTCCCGTGGCCCCTTTCCAAACCTGTCATCTTTGCCATGCTCTCCCATTCCAGCAGGGCCTTGTTCTCAGGTTGATTTCTCCATCTCTACCTGCCCATATGTACATATGAGATGTCACCTGGCTCACAATATATGTATATATTTCAGCAGGGTTCTTAGCCCCCCTTTCAATTGCAAGGTGATGTCAGGCCTTCTACCAAGTCACTTAAAAGGAAACTGCCTGTCCATTGGGTCAGCTGTCAGCCGCCACAGTGAGAGCTGTAACCACCTCTCTGAAACCTTTCAGGGCCCCTACCCCAACTCTCCTCCAGTTGGTGCATGGGGCAGTGGTAAAAATACTAGATGAGTGGGTAAAAGATTTGTATCCTAGCTTAATTTTGTCATTACTTGCTTTATGACCCTCCCTAGCCATCCCTCAGTTGCTTCTTCCTTAAAAGAGGAGAGGCGAAAAGGCTTGAATTAGATTAGATGAAATCTAAGGACGCTTCTCCTGTTGACGTTGTGTGCTTCTGATTCGATTCCACATTTGTCTCCTTGGGGCAGAAAGTGGATGGGTTGGTTGGTGGTAGTGGAGGGTGTACAGGGAAAGTCATATGCCAGCTTGAGAGGCAACAGCACAAATAGAAAAACATTGCAAAGTAGCTTTCAGAGAATCGAAATGGGTTTACCATGAGCAATAACTTTAAGAAGCAGCTTTGAACTGTGAAAGGACGGTGTTTTTAAAAAATAGCACTATTAAAAATATCATGAAGAAAATGTTTTCTAAAGTGTTTTTGTTATTGAGTTTGGACCACAAAGCACTCAATTTAACATGAGAGACTCGTAACCATGTCCTTGGGTGTGAGAGTTCACATCAGTCACAGGGGACGGAAACTGCTAGAAGCCCAGGCAAAGCAGTGTCACTTATCCATTAACCTAGAATGAGAGTCTCTCTAGATTTCTAGCCTTAAGTAAGATTACTGTAATTTCTTCTTTTCTCCAGGGTAAAAATTTGGGAGAAATTTAAAGGTTATATATAAACATAAATCCTATAGGCTTAAATTAAGGTAGTTACAGTTTACTTTCATATTTCAAAATCAAATTTCAGCTTCAGCCCAGACTCACAAAGTAGAAATGTCAGACTTTTTACCGTGGTCTTATATAAAATCTACAACTTTCACTTAGAGAGGAAAAAATAAAACTCAACCTTTACGCCTTATCTCCTGAATAGACTACAAAAGCGGCATGGGTCTATCTCTCAGTATGCCTTGAATGTAAATTTTAGGATTACATGCATTCAGAATGAGAAGGAACCTCAGAGGCAGCTAGTGCAGGTCTCCTCCCTCTTCAGTCCGGGTCAGAATTTCTCTGAAGTCTCCCTGACAGGTAAGCTTAGCCAGCCCTCTATTAGAACTTGCGAATTGGCAGGGTGGTCCAGAGATGGAGCAATGATGACCTCCTGAAAGCATTCATTACTGGACCACACTGCCAGTTAGAAAGTACTTCCTTTTACTAGCTAAATTCTGCATCCCTGAAATTTCTAACCACTTGAACAAACAAACCAAACATGTATTCCAAAATTATATTTCCACTATTTATGATTTCTTCTTAAAGGAATGATTTACAAACTGGGAATTTCCTACAGAATAGTAAATTTATCTGGGATGAGAAGTACGTGAAGACTAATAAGACTGATAATTTTTAAAATCCTTGCAATTATTTTATAAAGCATACTCCCACATTAACCATCTCATTTAGTTCTCAACACCAGTCTAGGATGCTGAATTATTACAAATGAAGAAACAGACTCAGAGAGGTGAGGTGATATGGCTGAATTGGTCCTTAAGCCCAGATTTCTGACCCCACATTCAACCCTACCCTCATTGTACTACTTACTTACGCAGCATTCTTCATGAATGTTACTAGTTTCCAGGCTCATGACATAAATACGGAAAACAGCTGCAATCTACGTGGAGGTCAGTCGAATAAAAAAGGCAGGAAGTCAGCAAATTATTGCACAACAATTAAGGACTGAAATTCTAGGTGGAAACAAAATACCTTGGAAAACCAGAGAAAGGAGCAACAAATTACCTGGTGGAAATGGGGAAACCTTTATGGGAAATAATGTTTAACTTAGATTTAGACATTTAGCTCTACTTGGAGTGTAGAGATTTCGGTGTAGAGAGACCAAATGATTCTATGAGAGACAGAAGAAACTGCACAAAGCAAGACAAGTAGGTAAAAGGCTATGGCATCTTTAAGGTAGAGTGAGGTACCTTTTGTGGCTGAAGCACAGGGTGTGTGAGAGTGTAACACAGGTGACATTGGAGAAGAAGTAAAGTGAGTCTAGGGACACTGGGTGCCACGGTATAGTCAAGAATGGGACAGAGTCAGAGA